CATGAAAAAAGACCATCAACAAAAAACAACTAATAAAAATAAAAGAAAGGTTGTTACTTGCGTATATTGTAAATTCACCGCAACTACAAAAATAACATTGCAAAGGCACATCTTAGGACAACATAACGAACAACATAAGTTAGAAAATAAAGTTTCAATAAAAATAAAAACTTACTCTTGTGTGTACTGTGACTATACCACATTTGATAATTCTAGATTACTGAACCAGATTCATAGTAAACATAAGGAACAAAATGAGTTAGAAAATAAAGTATCAATACAAATAAAAAACCACTCTTGTGTGTACTGTGACTTTACTACATTCCGTAAAGATTGTTTACTTACCCACATCCTTAGTAAACATAAGGAACAAAATAAGTTAGAAAATAAAGTAGCAATAAAAATAAAATATTTGACTTGTGTGTATTGTAAATTCACCGCAACTACAAAAAGGACATTACAAAGGCACATCTTAGGACAACATAACGAACAACATAAGTTAGAAAATAAAATATCAATACAAGTAAAAACTCACTCATGTGTGTACTGTGACTTTACCACATTCGAAAATTCTAGATTACTGAACCACATCCATAGTAAACATAAGGAACAAAATGAGTTGGAAAATAAAGTATCAATACAAATAAAAAACCACTCTTGTGTGTACTGTGACTTTACTACATTCCGTAAAGATTGTTTACTTACCCACATCCTTAGTAAACATAAGGAACAAAATAAGTTAGAAAATAAAGTAGCAATAAAAATAAAATATTTGACTTGTGTGTATTGTAAATTCACCGCAACTACAAAAAGGACATTACAAAGGCACATCTTAGGACAACATAACGAACAACATAAGTTAGAAAATAAAGTATCATTAAAAATAAAAACTTACTCTTGTGTGTACTGTGACTTTACCACATTCGAAAATTCTAGATTACTGAACCACATCCATAGTAAACATAAGGAACAAAATGAGTTGGAAAATAAAGTATCAATACAAAGAAAAAACCACTCTTGTGTGTACTGTGACTTTACTACATTCCGTAAAGATTGTTTACTTACCCACATCCTTAGTAAACATAAGGAACAAAATAAGTTAGAAAATAAAGTAGCAATAAAAATAAAATATTTGACTTGTGTGTATTGTAAATTCACCGCAACTACAAAAAGGACATTACAAAGGCACATCTTAGGACAACATAACGAACAACATAAGTTAGAAAATAAAGTATCATTAAAAATAAAAACTTACTCTTGTGTGTACTGTGACTTTACCACATTCGAAAATTCTAGATTACTGAACCACATCCATAGTAAACATAAGGAACAAAATGAGTTGGAAAATAAAGTATCAATACAAAGAAAAAACCACTCTTGTGTGTACTGTGACTTTACTACATTCCGTAAAGATCATTTACTAACCCACATCCGTGGTAAACATAAGGAACAAAATGAGTTAGAAAATAAAGTATCAATACCAATAAAAAACCACTCTTGTGTGTACTGTGAGTTTACTACATTCCGTAAAGATAGTTTACTTACCCACATCCTTAGTAAACATAAGGAACAAAATAAGTTGGAAAATAAAGTTGCAATAAAAATAAAACGTTTGACTTGTGTGTATTGTAAATTCACCGCAACTACAAAAAATACATTACAAAGGCACATCTTAGGACAACATAACAAACATTGACAAACCGTTATTTACTAAACCACGTCCATATATAGTAAACATAAGGAAAAAAATGAGTTGGAAAATAAAGTATCAATACAAATAAAAAACCACTCTTGTGTGTACTGTGACTTTACTACATTCCGCACATCCTTGGTAAACATAAGGAACAAAATAAGTTGGAAAATAAAGTGGCAATAAAACATTTGACTTGTGTGTACTGCGACTATACCAATCCTCATATTCAAGCATTAAAAAGGCATATATTTGCAAAACATAAAGAACAAAATGATTTAGAAAATAAAGTACAAATAAAAACTTACTCTTGTGTATACTGTGACTATACCACATTGGAAAACCGTAGTTTACTTAACCACATCCTTAGTAAACATAAGAAACAAAATGAGCTAGAGAATAAAGTAGCAATGCCAATAGAACCTTTGATTTGTGTATACTGTGACTATACCACTCTTGATAAACATAAATTTAAAAAGCATATATTGGCAAAACAAAGAACAAAATGAGTTGGAAAAAAAGTTTTCGACATAACCCAATGGTATTTAACATGATTTATTATGAACTACATTATGAATCAATTCAATTCTCATATGTTATATGTTTCGCTAAGCCAGAAAAAATGTGTTGGTACTTACAACTAGGCATATTTTTTACTGATAATTTAACTAAAAATAATTTTCTCATCACCTGATAAAGTAAGTTAATGAATTTTACTTCAAAACTACAATTATAATTTGTTCTTTTTCACTTAATATATACAGGGAGTTATGTAATTTATTAAAGTTCCTTAGGGTCCATAAAGAAGCACCTGAAACTTTTTCCTAAGTTCTAAAAACTAAAAATAATCTGTGAAAATATTTTTTTAAATATTTTACACCTTATATCAAAAGGTATTCAGTATTTTAATATATTACATTATTTACCTAACACCCTGTATAAACCTTTTAGGCATGGCATATTCAGTAATAATTAAATATGATATTTTTTATTTTTTTTCTTGTAACCCCTTATTTTTAAAATTATATGTAATACATAAAAATATTCTCTGTTCAAATTGTAAATTTTTTTGTTTTATTTACCATAATTTTATTATTTTTATTGTTTTTATAATAAAATAATAAAGTTTTAAAATGTTTTTTATTTTCTTAAAAAAAAATCTAGAAAGATATGAGGGAACTAAAAGTTATACAGTCGCAACTACAAAAGCAGAACGAACACAGTAATGTTGAACAATATTCCCCAATACCAAAACAAAACACAAAGTGTTTAAAGTACTTTTTGCCAGTACTTCAACACAGGCTGTGTGGAAGGGCCCCTTCTACCACAAAGAGGTAAAAGGTTGTCGGGTGTTAGGTTAAAAATTAATTGAAACTGAAACTAAAGCTTTGGGAGTGCCAGAAGGGTTAAAAAGTAAGAAAAAACTTGTTTTGTATTAACTATCCTGATTTTTTTGTTAGTAGTCGGGGCTCAGGTTAAAAATTAAGTGAAAAATCTAAAACTTAGGGAGTACACCCTTAGAAGAGTCAAAAGTAAGAAAAAAACTCGTTTGAAAAAAAATATGATTTTATCTATTTTGCGTTCATAATGACTTCATTATAACACCGCTTTCGGCGCTGTAATGAGATACTTTATCCGACCCAAAATTTTGATTTTATATGTTGGCTATACTTTAAACAGCATAATATTTTGCATATTGATTATAATATTTTAATGATTTTTCTTGTACTTCAAGACTTTTCTGGCAATAAATTTTGTTGAACACTAAAGAAAATCCTTTTTTTCTTTTTTAACATTAACAGCCGCTTATTGTAAATAAGGACGGCATGGCGAATCGATTTTGACATTAACTGTCAAACCAATGACTGTGATACCAACTCTCTAAAGTAAAATGTTACTAAATTAAATTTAAGGTATAAAATAATTTTTTTTATAGAATTTTTGCAAAATAGATAAAATAGCATAAAGAACTCATGTCATAAGACCTTTTGTCGCACTCGTACATAACAAAACTCGCCCCTTCGTCTTATGACATTAGTTCTTTAATATATATTTTCTTACTTTTTTTGATTTTTTTTATTTTAAGTCGTCAGGGTTCAGGTTAAAAAATATGATTTTTTCTTACCTTTTTTTGATTTTTTCTTTAATTTTTTTTTTAATTTAAAACTTTGGGAGTATATTTAGAAGGGTAAAAAAGTTAACGTGTTTAAAAAAAATATGTTTTTTTCTTACCTTTTTCTGATTTTCAATTCAAGTGGATTTTTAAATAATTTATTGTTTTTAAAACAAACAACATAATAAATTAACAAAAATTTTAGAATCTATCTCTACCTATACACTAAAACCCTTAAAATAATCAGTCTTAATAGAGAGCGATTTTTGCTAATTAAACATTTTTTTTTCTAAAAACAAATTTTATGACCTTTTTTTGACTTTTTCTATTTTTTTCAAAAGTGGTCGGGGCTCAGGTTAAAAATTAATTGAAAAATCTGAAACTTTGGGAGAACCTTAAGAAGGGTAAAAAAGTAAAAAAACCTTATATGAAAAAAAATATGATTTTATCTTACCTTTTTCTGTTTTAGGTGGTCAGGGCTCAGGTTAAAAATTAATTTAAAAACTTGAAACTTTGGAAATACCTTTAAAAGATTCAAAAAGTAGGATAAAACCTGGTTTTAAAAAAATATGATTTTTTTTTTGATTTTTTCTTTAATTTTTTTTTTTAATATGAAACTTTGGGAGTACCTTTAGAATGGTAAAAAATTTAAAAAAAAACGTGTTTGAAAAAAAATATGTTTTTTTCTTACCTTTTTCTGATTTTCCATTCCATTAAGTCACAGCTCGTAAATGTAGGAGTCGATAATAGTATATTATGTATCAAGTTTGATAAACGCCATTTATACACGAATTTAATTAAATTAATGAGTGTATAGAAAAGTTTATAAACGAGGTGCATACTACACTTTTTCTACGACAAATACTTATTATTATCTTAAAATGATTTTAATCAAAAATTTGTATAGAGCGTCATCTATAAAACAATAGGGGAATCTGTGTGTCACCGTCAAATGTCAAATTTTTATATTTTATAAACACAATTATAAAGGTTATAAATCGAAATGTATTTCTTGAAAATTGACAGTTTTTACAGTGAAATAAAAAAAATGTTTTATGAGCACTTTACAGTGGAGTCCGTGCCCGAATTTAAGTTATAGTTTACTGCCGGCGATATTAAAAGGTCAGTACAATGTTCATATAAACTTTTCAAATTGTGGCGTTGAGAAACTATTTAATAATTTTGTATTTTTGTATTGAGATAATAAAATAATTTTCACATTTAGTATTATTTTACAGGAAAGGCAATTTATTTTAACGATTGTATGACATTTGACAACTGTAAACTAACTTAAAACTAACTTCAGCCCGTGACTAAAAACCTGTTGCTAACTTCAGCCCGTGACTAAAGCGCCATAAAGCCACAACTTGTCAATATGTACCTATTTAAAAGGTCACTTAGTGTCATGGAAACATGTACGATAAAGGGCGTTTTAAAGGTGGGAGTAGAAAAAAAATATTATCTTTTTAAATAATTTATTGTTTTTAAAACAAACAACATAAAAAATTAACAAAAATATTAGAATCTATCTCTACCTATACACTAAAACCCTTAAAATAATCAGTCTTACTAATAGAGAGCGATTTTTGCTAACTGAACAATTTTTTTGTAAAAACAAAAGTTTTTTATGAGGGTTCCAACCTAATAAACAAAAAACAATCGTTCAATTGGCTTAAACATCTAACAAGTACGATTCATCTAGAAACCACTTAAGTCGTAAGTATTTTGGACGGCATATTATATTTTATCAATTTGGCTATTATTATTACTATTCAATAATAATGAATTATTTTCCCTAACACGTTTCTCTTCTTTGTAGAGGCCTAATACTGCTAGTCCTCGGCCTCATTTGATATTTACTCTTGAGAACAATAATTATACAGACAGCTGTCACAATGGCTGTCAAAAGGCAGCCATATTTAAAGCCCAATTGAACTCCCTTGATAGTGAAAGTTGTCGTGTAAATCAAACTGATGACGTCATCGGGAAGATCCTTGCTATCAACACCCTGAAAATAAAAAAAAAGAATAAAAATACCGAAAAAGTTTGTAGAAATAAATGGGCGAATCTCACGAAATAAAACCTATCCTCCGTGACTGTTACTCTTTCTAGGTTAACTTATATGTTTTCAAATATCTGAGGTAGTAAAAGCATACTATAAATATCAGTTCACTAAGTAAATTAAACACATCCAAAGCAATCGAATCAAATATAAAATATTATTCAAAATTAAAAGAAATAATTTTTATAACCATTTATGTAGGTGTTACAAAAATTGATTCTATCCTCCGTGAATCTGGTTTTGCTCTAAAATTTATGCAACGGATGGCGCTTTTATCATTTTAAATAAGCAAAAACCTTTGTTTACGACATTATAGATGCATGTGATTCCTGAAGGTCAGTTAGAATTTATATGCAGATGAGAGTGTTGCTGTTTTATAATTCAAAAGTTTATTTCATTAATTTGCTATTTAAAAACCTATCCACCGTGAAGTGTAATATCTTAGTAAGTAGATTTTTTATAAATATTTTATGTATGTACAATTGTATTTTTTAAAAATATTAAGGTGTCAAAAGATACAATAACTTATTTCAAATATACAAAGGGATGTTTAAAAAAAATGAAATCCTAACCTCCGTGAAGCTCTAATATTTAAAATGTATGATTTCTTAAAATTCTTGCATTAGTGCAGAACCACTTACGTTATGTTATTACTAAATAAAAAACAATCATTTTCACTCAAATATATTTACCATTTCCATCCAAGATATCGGTAACATAATTTCGTCCTCCTGGAAAATATCCAACTGTGAAACCCCATAGGACTTGGTCATGAGAAGATTTCCTTGGAAACGGCTGGCTCCAGACATCAAGAAGCCCATGGTTGGGTGAACATAGACATAACTTTCGGTGTCTGTTGGGTTAGGATTTAAGCCGGTGACACCATTTCTTAAACTTTTATCGGCTCCTTTCAAATGAGGCAAGGAAACGTACAAGGGGACACCTGTAACAATAAAATAAAGAATAAAATATATAAAACCATATACAGTTACAGTTACAACCAAATTTCTGGAGGAAACTGTCCTAAGACTATTTGCTTGTACTGTAAGTACTTTTTACAGCTAATACTTTAATATGCTTTATTATAATATATATATATATACACCTGTGTGCTAGCTTCTCAAGAGCGATAGATTTGTAGGTTATCTTACATATACTTAAATTTGTGTTTATTACATTATAAGAGTAATACATTTTTAAAATTTATTATTAAGTACACGGAAAGAAATGTTATGATAAAGTGCTAAATCGAATACATTTTTTTCTAGGAACAGCAAAATTAAGATTGGTCACAGAAAACGTTTTTCTTAAACCAATCAAACATTAGGATTGGCTTTATGTAACGTTAAGCTTAATTTTCAAAGAAAAGATAGACTCTTGGATTTTATTATTATATTCCTATTTGGATTAATTTCAACAAATAAAATTTAAATAAAAACTAAATTGATTTAACTTTATTTTTACTAGTATTAGTAGCTGCATTTTATTGCCCATTCTCCCTATTCTCCCATAAATGAATGGTTGTTTTTTTGAGTCACAGAATGATTCTTCTGTCATTAATGTCATTCCGATGATTCCTTACTTTTGTTTGGAATCTTCAGAATGAGGCAGAGTGGGGGGACATTCCCCTGAAAAAAGTGCATTTAACAACCGCCAATTTTAAAAACTATTATGGTTTATAATAAACCCAGCAAGTAATAACTGTGCGTTATCCATATTTTTAAACTTTTAAAAGAAAATTGAGGTCACAATCCACACAATTGGTTATTAGGTTCATAAATTCCCCCACCTTTGGCAAAGTGACAGGGTTCAGAATGAATTTGCAAACGGGAATCATTCTGTTTTTATTCCATTCCACTTTCAATAAAATGCGCCTAGTAAGTAGTATCAAAAGTTGGATAGAATTAGTTTTATATTTGATTAATGTTAGTACACATTTTATAGGTCTATTTCTAAAATTCAGTAAATGTTTCTAATAATTTTATCTAGACAGGATTATTTTAATTTAAACATATTTCAAATATATTTGGAATAAAAACAATAAAATAATTGCTTAATATCTATACATGTTTAAATTAAAATAATTCTGTCTAGATTGAATTATTTGAAAAATTTACCGAATTTTAGAAAAAGACCTATGAAATGTGTTCTAACATAATCAAATATAAAACTAATTCTATCAAATTTTTAATACGATTATCCAATATTTGACTGAATTATTAAAAGTCAGCTAAAATCCAGCTAATATTTTGACCAAATCTGTAATATAAGCAGCAAATTTAGCAAACATGCCAATTTTTAATTTTTAACGCGTTTTAGTTTGCAGTTTCTCTTCGAGACAGGTGGTGTAGTGAATTGTGAAAGAACGATCGTGTCTATTCAACACAGCAGATTCTAAAACCGTTTATTTTGACTTTTGACCATTTTTATAGGTATGTTCCTACCAAGCATTTTCACTGCCAAGTAGACGTCAGGGACATGGATAATATTAAAATCGTGATCACAATCCACACAAGAAGGTCTGTTCGATTTCGTGCATTCGAACGAAAACTGTTGTGCGCACCACGTGGGATATCTCCAGCCACCATCTTTGATTTATTTGACGCCGTTAAATTAAATTTAAAAAGTTGTTTTTTAAGGTTTTAAACGCAAATATTTTAAAACCTTAAAAATTATACATTATATTAGTCAATTAAACATAAAAAACACTTGTTAAACTAAACCAGTATTAAGTTATTTTTTTGTATTTTGAACCTATAGATTATTATTTTATTGAGTTATTTTTTATGAATGTTTGTAAGCTTAAATAAATGAATATTTATTAAACACAAAATTTAGTATATATACTTTACCTACCCCACTATCACAGCATATTACGAAGATCAATATTCCAGTCAATAATCAAATATTGAATTGATTAAAATAATACAATTTTTGATAAATTCAATATATTTTTTACTAACTATTTAGATAAATTTTGCTCGAATCAACAAATGATCTGATAAACTTTATCTACTACTACTACTATTAAAAAATAAATTAAATTGACCTAAAAAGTGCTTAATTGAATCCAAGAATTGGTAAATTTAAGAAAATATGTGGATTCTAGAAAATCGTAGGCGAATTTAATTTAATTTTCACTATAATTATTCTAAATTTTGTAGTGATTTATAAAATTATTTGCTGCTATTTATCACTGTTTGATATATTTAAGCCTGGCAAATAATTCAATCGAATGAATTATTGATATTAGTCTAATTTTGGATTGGCGCTATATTGATCAAAATTGATTGTAATACTACCTTACTGGATTAATTGTATTCAAAATTTCTTTCCGGGTATACACATAAATATAAACATTTATAACTGACTAAAGCTTATTAATGACAAAAACTTGGTTTGAAGAGGATTGCGGCAATATAAAACATACACAATTGGGTTATGTTCGCAGTTTGCAATGGTATAAGTAAATTTGCATTAGAAGGTCCCCACTACCTTGTTTTTGTACAGTTTTGCATGGAAAAACCTATATCCACTGATATGCTAAATCAGTTGATATAAATAAATCAACGTTTCTGCATTAAAGTACAAATAGCTAACCTAGATATTTAAAATTGGACAAAAAATTTGATGCTTACCAAAAGCACAGGGCGAGGTATTCATGACTCCTTTTTTGGGGCACTCTGAGGTCTTCATATCGCAGAAACATTGATTTTCAGGAACCACATCGCTGGTTTCAAAAACCTCACTTGGAATGGTGTATTTGTAGGCTGGAATTTTTCCATTCAGAATTGTGACTTCCTTTTCGTAATTCATAGGGATAGCTCTGCAAAACTGCTTGATGAAAAAGTTGACTTGTCTTTTGTCTTTGATTATTTTCGGTGGAAAAGTGGTGCCATCTGTGCCTTTGTAGCTGTTACATTCATCTGTGGACCAGTGGTGCAAATCCGTGTCGTCGTTAATTTTTTCTATGACGCCGATTTTGTTAAAATCTTTGGCACCGGTGTTGATCGTGATGACGTCTTGAGAAAGACCAACTTTCTGGAAATAAGAAATTATTATTGCTAAACGAAAAGTGTATAACTTAACCCTCAAACTTACTTGTGATAGAAGCCCAAATTCGTCTGAGACTTTCTCGTTTTGAAACTTCAAAACGCTTTTTGAAATGCTGTATAAATCACTTTCGTATCCAAAAATAAACTTCTGAGCTGCCAATTTCAAGAAAGGTTTTTGCCTTAATCCACCAAGTACCATTGATAGACCCACTCTAGCTAAAAAGTTTGACTCTTTCTGGTGATTCGCAGCTCCCTAAAAATAAATTTAATTAGTTAATTTTTTTAATAAATTGTTATCCTTTCATATTTTTTCAGGTAAATAACTCGCCCTGTTATTAATGATGATTTTTATTTCATGTTTTACTTACAATAAGGGGAACATTTGGGACCACCAGTTGATCGCTTTGTTTTCTTCCTAAGGATAACTCAGGTCTAAATTTGTAGCTTCGTTTTTCTTGATAAGAAACAGTATCATTATCATGGAATTGTACGTTAACTCTTTCTAAAATCTCCCTGTAACAAAAAAATATTTCAAAATAAAATAAAAAACCTTGAGGTATACTTAAACGTCATTCTAACCCTTGATAAATAGAAATCTAAAAAGTCTAGTGGTCGACAGATATTTGCTACCTGCTTTTCCACACTATCACTGTAAATCGCCAAAAGGGTAAGATTGAAGCATTTTTACAACCTCTGTGATGGGATTAAAGAAATTTGTACTTACTCGTATACATATGGACCAACTTCTTCTACATTTAATTTATCCACAAATCTGTTCTCGTAATCATCGACATTTGTGTAATTGAAAATGTACAATTTAATTATGGCGGGCACGGGTGGTTTTTCCCATAAAGAAAATGTGTCTGTGTTATTTGCTATAATCAGATTCTGAAAAAATAAAATAACATAAATTTTAAATTATAAACTAACGCCAATATCAGAAGTGGGATTGACTACAGCCAAATGCAGAATGTGGAAAAAATTCAGGAGCGATTCTACTATCTACCATTAAAAATATGATATACATGTAATAAAAGTTGAGTTGTTAATTTGGCTTTGGTGGTGCGATTTTCAAAGACAAGAAAATTAACTACTAGATTTTTTACAAAAAGGTTGGACCCAACAGCAAAAAATTTTTATTTTTTGTTTTTTTTATTTTCCTTATTTTTTAAAATATAAAAAAAAATTTGATCTTAGCTGAAAATAATGTGTGATTTATTATTTGTAAAACCAAAAACGATACTTTTTTACTCCAAAAATGTCCATAAGGCGATGTAAAATGAACTGTACATATTTTATTTGTATAAATTTTCCTGAATTTTTTCTTTGCACTTTAAAAGTAGTCATTTTTAGTTTAAATATATTACTTACATTATATATAGCGTTGTCAAAAATATTTGTAAAAAACATTATGATAGTTCCAATAAAGCTCGAGCAGAATAAAAGTAAAAGGCCGGTTATAACTGAAAATAAAATAAAAACAAGTTAGTTATTTTTGTTGTTTTATGTAGGTATATAAATATATTTAAAAAAATAGAATTATGATATAATTTTCTTTAGAGTCTTTTGTAATTATTATTATTATTATTATTATAATTATCAATATTAATAGCCTTTAAGTCTAGACATTATTATGTATAAATGTAACATTTGATATTACATGAAAAATGTCATATTAATTAGTTGTTATTTGTAGCATTAAAATCAAGGCGTGAAATAAGTATGTTTACCAATAATAATATAATATTTTATTTATACAGTGTGTTTTCGGATCGGGTTGTTAATAGAAAATTGAATCTATTTTATTGAGCATATAGACCTAAGATAAAATAGTTTTCTTAATAGGTACTCCACAACAACATTAAAACCAACTTTCTATGTAATGCTTTAAAAAAGCAAATTAGTTTTAAAATAGCCAATGTCGAGAGTATTATAAAACCAGTATAAGAGCAAATAGTTTATTTTAATTTTAAGAGTACATTATAATATTTGTTAAGAAATCTTAATCATCTCCAAAGCAATTAATTTTTATAACCTAGCAACAAAACTGTGAAATAAACAGTAAAACAATCGCACGTATTCTGTGAACTGTTACGCAACCCTTGCGATAATGAAATCAATTTTGAGCACAAGTTCATTTACTTTTGATTATCAAAATTCGCCGAAATTTTGATAAACCTTTAGTATTATAATCGCAAAAAAAAACAATGAAGCAATTATTGTTATAGAGGAATTAGTCAAGAGGTGTTAAATCCCAGTTGTCCGGTGGCCAAGTATGTCCTCCAGAATGCCATAAGGTCATTGTCATTATCTTCCGATTTAAGTGGAATTGCTTTTTTATGTTTAATATCAGCATTTACACTTGTATGTATTTCATGAAAATGTAAATTAATTACATCTACTTTTGGTAACATTAAAGATCTGGTGATTCTAATTTTAGATTCAAGATTAAAAATTTCGACATTATAATTGGCTGGTACTTTACGAGCATTATTAGGTTAAATGTTATCAGGTTGTCTTTACCATTATCGTTAGACATAAACAGTATTATATATTTAGATAAGGCCAGATAAGTTCATTCATTGATAGTTAACTTGTCGATTGTGTTGGGAGATCTTTTGCAAACAATTAGAGCAGGTAGTTAATGTGAAGGGGGTAGTCAGATTTTGTTACGAAATTTTTTTTTTAATGAGAGTCATTTAAATGATAGTCGATACATTTTTAATGCAAACATTCTCACATTAATCCAAAAATTACCACAAATTTAAAACTTCAAAATGTTTTTATTAAAAATTTATTTAAATGACTATTGACAAATTTAAACCAATAAAATATTAAAACTACAAACACTAACTTTGATAATTTAATATAAATAATTTTATAATAAATTTATTTAGGATTTACAAAATTCTGCACCAATAAATTATACTTAAGAAATTATTTTTATTAAAAAAAAATAGTTAGAAATCTTTGCAAAAATTACAGAAGTGAACTGTTTATTTTATACCTGTCTGTGTTTTATACAAATAAATATTATATTTTTTTAATGTGTTGAATAGGAGTTATTACGTATAATTAACTATATTTTAGTCGAAAATTTAAAGGTTTCTATTTTTTAAATGCGTTTTTAGATTATCACTTATCAACTTTTTTATTTAAAATTAATATAATTTTTTTTACTGTATTATATACGTATAATTAACTATATTTTAATCAAAAAACATAGTTTTTTAATTTTTAAATTCGTTTTTAGATGTTCATAAAGCGTTAATTGCGGAAATAACCCAATAATTTTTTTATTTTTTACTTTGCTAAATAAGACTAATTACGTATAAATAACTATATTTTAATCGAAAAACATAACGGTTTTTATTTTTTAAATGCGTTTTAGATGGTCCTAGAGCATCAATTGAGGAAATAATCAAAAAACTTTTTTATTGCAAAGAAATATTTATTTTTTTAGTTTTTACTTTGTTAAATAAGACTTAACAGGTATAATTAACTATATTTTAATAAAAAAATAAAGGTGTTTATTTTTTTACTGCCTTTTTTGGATGTTCCCGGTGAAACGATTTCGAAAATAATTCAAAAACATTTTTATTGTAAATAAATATGATTTGAATTTTAACATTTATTTTATTAATAATTCCTTAACTTCTTCTTCAAGCTCATATTTTACAAATTTTGTATTTCTCATACTCTCTAAAAATGAATTAGTCAAAAATGACTAATTTAATAGTTATTAGTGGCTGCTTTTTTACTTGTACCATGGTTAACCATGGAATACCAAGGTATACCAAAATTTAACAGCCAATTCTTATGTAAAATTGTCCCCTGAATTCGATAATGTCGTCAAAAGTCAAAAAAGTTGAACAGTTTTTGAGATATAGTCAATTTTCCATTTAATATGGAATTGACTATATCTCAAAAACTGATCCACTTTCATAATTTTTGACGGTATTTTCGGATTCAGGGGACAATTTTACACAAGAATTGGCTATTAAATTTTGGGATACCATGGTACAAGTGAAAAAGCAGCCACTAATAACTATTAAATTAGTCATTTTTGACTAATTAATTTTTAGTGAGTATGCTATTTTATCTATTTTGCAAAAATTATATAAAAAAAATTAATTGTATACCTTAAACTTAATTTGATCGAATTTTACTTTAGATAGTCGATTAGCCATGCCGTCCTTAATTTACTTATTTACAATAAGCGGCTGTTAATGTTAAAGAAGAAAAAAGGATTTTCTTTGGTGTTAAACAAAATTTAAGTAAGTACTATATAAATCATAAAAATATTAAAACCAATATGCAAAATATATGTTTAAAGAATAGCCAACCTATAAAATCAAAATTTTGGGTGGGATAAAGTATCTCATTACAGCACTGAAAGCGGTGTTATAATGAAGTAATTATGAACGCAAAATAGATAAAATTATTTAATAAATCTTAAGAGAAGAGAATTTTCTGGACAATAGTCGAAGACGAGCTTTGGATTGACCGGCTGGATCTCCAGATTTGACTCTTCTAGATTTTTTTAAGCGAGGTCATGTAAAAAGTAGAATTTACGCAACAAGAGTTAAGGTATCAAAAAAACTCGTCTTTTTTTCTAATCTCAAACATGCTATGGTTACTTACACCTAGGGATGGGACAGTTGAAATTTTCAAGTGAAAATTTCAACTTTGAAAGTTTCAAACTGGAAATATTTTATTTAGTTGGAAAAGTGAAATTTTTGAAAATTTCAAATGAAATTTTCAATCCGAAAATTTCAACATTGCCTGTGAAAGTTTCAGAAATTTCATTGAAAGTTTCGCAATTTACTGAAAATTTCGCATAAATTTCACATGCGGCCTCCCCTGGGATCTTAAATAATAATTTACAACAAATTCCAAATCGACCAATAAGAACGAGTTATCAAGCGTCTGGGCGTTTTTGTTTAGTTCGGCTTGGATTTGAATACACTATAAGTAATTATTGTTACTTATATGCATAAATTAATTTAAATAATTTAATTCAGTTACCAATTTAATTTGTAAATTAAATCAGACTTTAAAATTTTTTTAAAAGTCATGATTAATTTAAACTTTTACTTTTGCTATAATTGCATCGGAAAACGGATAAAAAATGCCTTTGGCTCATAAAATTGTGATGAAGTTTCTTCAATTTTCGTAAAATTTCAGTAAAATATTTAAAAATAATAAATATTTATAAATATAAAACAATGAAAGTGGCACAATCTCATTAGCTTACCAAAAAGTGCTATATCTCTTTTAGTTTTAGTAATTTTAAAAATATTTTAAAAGAAATTTGTGGTAAACATAGGTATTTACTATTTATATTATTGGTGCAGGGGCCCACAGAGGGGTAGGAGGTAAGAGAGCCAATTTGCAATGGTCCCCGAGTGAGCTTATTTCAATATTAATATATTACACTTAAAGTGATTGAAATTTATTGAAAGTTTTAATGAATTTCATAAATGTCATGAATATTTCAAGTAAAATTTCAAGTACAAGCAAAAAGTGAAATTTTCCCAACCCTACTTACACCACATTCTCCTACTATTGACCTCATATCCCAAGAATTTTTGACCCTCTGGGTTTAAGCCATTTAGGACTTTTTTCGCAATAGGTCCTTTCATGAATAGCTGATTTTTGGTTTTGAAATCCTTGGGCATCTTTTCAAACGTTTCACTAACTCTTCTGAGAGAATCCAACTCGGGGTAAATCATGTTTGTTTGCACTAATAAACACTTAAATTAACACAGAAAATTATCACTTTTTAAAATTGTTTATATGTTGTATGTTCGACTGTTTTCTTTGAATGCTGTGCCACAGAATCAAGACTTCTTATTTAAAAGATACTCTTATCGAAAATCGAACGCCTTATCAAAAATATAGCATCAGACCATATTATGTTTTTGTTTTTTATGTGTCTAATTCTTCCATCTTCCTCTCTCTTTTGCAATCACTGCAGTGTTTTCTATATTTAACCGAATTTGTTTATTTCCTAATCAATCTGCATTTTTATTTATTATTATTAACGTTATTTGTTTAGACGTCTTATTATCTTACGTCGGTTTTCGTGAATTTTTACTTCTACCCAGTAATTTTACGTTATACATAGGTAATTTTTAATTGTTGTGTGACGCAAACATTTCTTCTGGAACTACAATAATAATAATATGTTTTGATTTATGATTAGGGATGAAATATGTGTTTTGGTTAAACTATTAAAATGACGTAGTAATTTTTAATGTAATAATCACGTTGTTATGATAAAGTAAATCAAATCCATTTATTAATTTAAGAAAAGACAAAATTTATCCAAAATGAATTAGTTTAATCTAAAATAGAATAAATCAAGAAAAAAACTGACAAATTTAAGTTTTTTATGATAAATATGTACATTTCGCAAATGATTAAAATCATCAAATTAAAATTAACATCCTTAGATAGACATTATCCTTTAAGTGCTAAATCAAATACATTTTTTTCTAGGAACCTTAATTTTCAAAGAAAAGATAGATAAGATCAACTCTTGGATTTTATTATTATATTCCTATTTGAGTTAATTTCATCAAATAATATTTAAATAAGAACTAAATGGATTTAACTTTATTTTTACTAGTATTAGTAAGTAGTATCAAAAGTTGGATAGAATTAGTTTTATATTTGATTAATGTTAGTACACATTTCAAATATATTTGGAATAAAAACAATAAAATAATTGCTTAATATCTATACATGTTTAAATTAAAATAATTTTGTCTAGATTGAATTATTTGAAAAATTTACTAAAATTAATCAAATATAAAACTAATTCTATCAAATTTTTAATACGATTATCCAATATTTGAATGAATTATTAAAAGTCAGCTAAAATCAAGCTAATATTTTGACCAAATCTGTAATATAAGCAGCAAATTTAGCAAACATGCCAATTTTTAATTTTTAAAGCGTTTTAGTTTGCAGTTTCTCTTCGAGATAGGTGGTGTAGTGAATTGTGAAAGAACGATCGTGTCTATTCAACACAGCAGATTCCAAAACCATTTATTTTGACTTCGCTCTCATAGTTTTCGCGATATATGTAGGTTAGGGTGTCCCTTATTTTTATTTTTTTTACGCATACCCTCTAATTATATTTATTACGTGTTTATATACTCCCAGTAAAAATTTCAGCTCATTCTATAAACGGGAACCCGTGCCGACTTGCATCTGAACCCTCCGTTAGCCAACGTTAGTCGCGCGGTATTTTGTAACACGGTTGGTCGCGAGGTCTTCGATCGTAAGTCATTTTGTGTTTGTTATTATGTGACCCTTATATTATAAATTATTGACAAATGTTAAAATATAGTTTTATTTATGTGTATACTTTGATAAAATAGTTATTTATGTCATTAGGTTAAGAAGTAAGGCTTTTTGTGCTAAGCTCAAAGTTTGAAGGTCGACGCGTAGCGGAGGCCTACAATTGAGCGAAGCACAAAAAGACACTTCTTGGCCGAATGGCATACAACATTTTATCTTCAAAGCACTTTATATAGGTCAATTTAATTCAACATGAAAGTGGCATAACCTCACTTTTTTTAATCTCATTTATTTATTAGCTAAAGATTACATTAAATGTACAATAATTATTATTCCTTTTAGAAGCAGTAATAGTTTGCAATACCTAGCTACATGATTTAAGTAGAAATGGATTTTTGTAAGAAAATGGTTTACTTACCCTCTTGCTATTACATTGAATTCAATTAATTGTTTAATAAATAGGTATCTAATTTCAATTTGTTTGCATTTTTATTAAAAAATAGGTAGTTTGGAATGTTTACGCCGTGTTTAACATTTAATTTTACTGAAAACTTAAAGCAAATTAAAATTTAAAGATAATTTAAATCGTAGAAAAAGAAAACACAACTGTGAAACGTCAAATTGCAATGTCCTAACCTCACTTTTTATTTTATTATTCATATTTAATTTTACAATAATTTAATGAAAAATATTAAACATTATAATGTTATAACAGTAAAACAAACAAATTAGTGCTTATTATAAATAAATTAAACCAGTTTAGTACGTTAATTTCTTAGAAAAGGATTAATTTGTCAAAACAATACCCCTAGCGAGAAAAAATCGAACTAATTACTTGCCTCATAAAAATTTTTATCGGCCTAGGCCATAACAAGGTATTTCTTTATCGAATGTTGACAACAATAAAGTTTAAATTATAGACCGCGTGGAGATAAATGTATATTTTCACAGGGAGTGGCTAGTTACCCGGAAGGGTCTGGTGAATAGGCCGTAAACTCTACACACATAGAAATGTTTGTTTTAGGGCAAACAAATTCATATATTTAAATGCGTATACTAAATGGAAAGATATTATATTTAAAACAAATCTATAACTATTGATATGAATTTAGTAATTTATTTTAACTGAATCTTTGATTTATTTAAAAGATATTTTATATTTTACTTTACAAGTGTATCTTAAAGCTATTATACTTTTGTTAAGACAATTGCCAATAATTATGTTGAACATATGAAAACATTCATTTTAAATAGAGCAATATTCATAAAGTAAGTAATTCAATTACTTAAAAGTTTATGATATATTAAATTAAAATATTTAATATGTTTATTTACTTTAACATCAAATATATGAAATTCTTCAACAAAATAATTGCTTTCAAATATTATAATGTCTTGTTTTAAGACGATCATTCTTTGAAATTGGGAATATACGAAATATTTATTACAAACAATTCATTTAATCGCGCATATAGGAACTAACGGTATATTTCAAATAAATAACATATATTCACAGCAAACACTACGTTTTTTGTGTGTAAAATTGATAAACTTAATGGGTTTTACTCTAAATAAATAAAAGAGTCTATTGTAAGAGATGACTACCGAAAACTTATTGAACTGTCTGAAATATTTTTGGGTGGACACCAAGAAAAGAAATGCTTATAAAAAGCTGAAATTTCATATAACAGTATATTTTAGCAATACTAATTATATTAATATATTTAAGGGATAAAATCAACTAAATTAGTGAAACAAAAGCAATAATATTAATTAGTAATCATATTTAATAAAATCATTAGAAAAATACAGTCATGAAGTATATCTTCTTTTTAAAGTGTTTCGTGTTACAAAATACCGCGCGCCTAACGTTGGCTAACGGAGGGTTCAGATGCAAGTCGGCACGGGTTCCCGTTTATAGAATGAGCTGAAATTTTTACTGGGAGTATATAAACAAGTAATAAATATAATTAGAGGGTATGCGTAAAAAAATAAAAATAAGGGACACCCTAATGTAGGTATAATAAATTTTATTAATTTCAACGTTTTTGGTTATTAAGAGTAATATAGGTATGTTCCTACCAAGCATTTTCACTGTCAAGTAGACGTCAGGGACATGGATAATATTAAAATCGTGATCACAATCCACACAAGAAGGTCTGTTCGATTTCGTTGGCATTCGAACGAAAACTGTTGTGCGCACCACGTGGGATATCTCCAGCCACCATCTTTTATTAATTTGACGCCGTTAAATTAAATTTAAACAGTTGTTTTTTAAGGTTTTAAACGCAAATATTTTAAAACTTTAAGAATTATACATTCAATTAGCCAATTAAACATAAAAAACACTTGTTAAACTAAACCATTATTGAGTTATTTTTTTGTATTTTGAATCTATAGATTATTATTTTATTGGGATATTTTTTATAAAAGTTTGTAAGCTAAAATAAATGAATATTTATTAAACACAAAATTTAGTACTACCTACCCCACTATCACAGCTTATTACGAAGATCAATATTCCAGTCAATAATCAAATATTGAATTGATTAAAATAATACAATTTTTGATAAATTCAATATATTTTTTAGTAACTATTTAGATAAATTTTGCACTAATCAATCAAATGATCTGATAAACTTTATCCTAATTATTCTTAATTTTGCCAAATTTACTACTATTAAAAAAATAGAGTAAATTGACCTAAAAAGTGCTTAATTGAATCCAAGAATTGGTAAATTTAAGAAAATATTATGTGGATTCTAGAAAATAGTAGGCAAACTTAATTTAATTTTCACTACAATTATTCTAAATTTTGTAGTGATTTATAAAACTTATTTGCTGCTATTTATCACGGTTTGATACATTTAAGCCTAGCAAATAATTCAATCGAATGAATTATTGATACTATAGTCTAATTTTGGATTGGCGCTATATTGATCAAAAATTTGATTGTAATACTACCTTCCTGGATTAATTGTATTCAAAATTTCTTTCGATGTTGTCGAATACACGGCACAGGCCGGCAATTCCTTAAAAAAGTTTTTAATGCGCGTTTGGGTATACATATTTAATGAAATTTAAAAAAACAATTAAACCATTTGCGTAGAGTAAGATTTTTATTTGTTTATTTCTAACAATAATAAATATTCAAGTAAATAATATTGTACTAACGTTAGTTTGGTAATAAATCTTCCATTTTTTTCTTAATTTCTAATTTTAAAATGCTTAAGAGATAAGGTTAACTATAAAACTACTCATACTTAATGTAAACAAATTGTGTGTTTGCCAATATTTTCGAACAAATGCTAAATTTGCACAATACATTGTTTTTATTATTATTTATAGTTTTATAACGATCACGTAGTTTTAACCTGTCAAACGTTTGATGATTGGTTCCAAAAAATCGAATAACTCAACCGTCAAACCAATTAAAAATAAAAAATATTTCTTATCGCGCTTTTTTCCTAAAATTAATAAAGTTAAAAATATCTGTATAAAAATAAAAACCTTTTTGGTGA